CCCCACTTCATGCCTTCTGGGCATCACGAAGCTTCTCCCAGTGCCAAAGACCTTCCTCCAGGTCAGGGCAGCTTTCCAGAAAAAGAGCTTTTGAATCCTATTCACTTTTTTATTGAACTAGGGAAATAAGCTGTGCCACCTTTTTTCCTCTGTGGCACTACATGGTGTAAAAACTGAGAAGAGCAGCTACACAGGGTCTATGTTTAGGCTACACTTATAGCAGTTGCTCCATCACCTGATGAGCTTTCTCCACCCAGGAAGGAGAATCAGGAAAAGGAGAGGAGGCCCACAGGTTGAAATGAAAACAGATTTAATGAAACAGCCAAACTAATACCAATAGAAAGCAAACAAAGTTACACTCAGCCCAGCAAACTTACAACGGCCACAATAAAGAGGAAGGAACTCTTCAGGAGCAGGAAGAGGAGCAGGCATCAGGAGGAACCCATAGCAGGAGACCTCTCCTCCTCAGCAAACTTCCCCTTTTCTACTGAGCCTGATGTTTCTGGTGTGGGATACACCTGTAGTCAATGTGGCTCAGCTGCCCTGGCTGCCTCCAAGCTGCTCGTGGCCTGTAGACCATGGCAAGCCCGTGGTGCTTCTGTCCTAATGAAACCAGGACACAGCCAGCCTCTCATTAAGTAATATGGGATGTTGCAAGAGCTGGAACACCACCAGGGAGATGAAAGTTGGGCAATTACAGGCTTACTTGAGGCATGCCATGTCTGAGTGTGCTTTCATATTCCAGGCAAGAAAAGCATTGAAGTAGCTAGCCCCAGTTCTTCCCATCTCTCGTCTCATTTTTTACCCATTTCAGGATTTTCTATCTTTATCTTAGAAATGTGGGGCTCTGGGAGCATCTGTGAACCAGCTAGGGATAGAAGCAGATGGCTTCTCCCAGTGCAGCATACATGGTGCTGGGGAGGTGCCACCTAGAGCAGGTCACTGTGGCCACAGCACTGGCAGAGGAGCATATCCATACCCTAAATTCCATTGACACAGGGGATTTTTCTTTTGTGTAATCTGAGGACAAAGCCACCAATTTATGCCATCAGTGCCCCATACACAGATATGAGTCAGGTCTATGAGTGGCTGTTTGCCTGGCAGGCAGGGCAAGGCTTCAAACTCCCATCACCAGATCCCTGAGGAATATTCTGCAGAGATCCTAACTTCTATCAGTGGAGAATGATATTAACCCTAGAAATGAATGCATTTGATAGATCACAAAGAAATGCATCCACAAGACACAAACCTGTCACAGCTCTGTGGGCATAAACTGTAATTGCCATCCCCATTTGTGGGGCTCCACGTGCAGGGATCCCTCGTGATCGTTCCCAGTGATGGGATCAACCCAACCACAGGGTGCTGTGCCTCCAAAGCTGCTTGTCCCAACCTGACCTCCTGCACCCTCCAGCCCCTCGTGCTGCAGCCCAGCCTTGCTTTGCCTCACTGGTGGTTGCTCTGTGACTGCTAATGAGCTGTGCACTGATTAACCAGCACCTCCAGGGCTTGCTGCTGGGCTAGGGCAGCCATGGGCAGGGCAAGATCACCCCAAAATCTCCTGCACGCTGCCCAAGGTGGGGCTGTCTGTTGGGAAGGGAGCGTGTGCTGGTCTGGCAGCAAACCTGGGCTTGGGGTTCAATCATCTACAAGGGTGCTGAGGGGCCTGGAGCATCTCTGTGCTGAGGACAGGCTGAGAGTCCTGGGGCTGCTCAGCCTGGAGAAGACTCAGAGGGGATCTGATCAATGCTGAGCAATATCTAAACACCAGGGAGCAAGAGGATGGGGCAGACTCTTCTCAGTGTTGCCCAGTGACAGGACAAGGGGAAATGGACCCAAACTGGAACCCAGGAGGTTCCATCTGAACAGGAGGAAAAATTTCTTTGCTGTGAGGGTGGCCGAGCCTGGAGCAGCTGCCCAGAGAGGTTGTGGAGTCTCCTGCTCTGGAGAGATTCCAAACCTGCCTGGAATTGTTCCTGGGCACCCTGCTGTGGGTGAGCTGCTGGAGCAGGGGGTTGGATGAGATGATCTCCAGAGGTCTCTGCCAACCCCGCCGTGCTGGGATTCTGTGAATGGAACAGGACAGAAAGAGATTGCCTGGCAGCTCCAGCCACAGGGACATGGCCGTGCCCTGACACAGGCGAGGATGCCATCATGTGGCCAAAGATTTCCATTCACTCACCACCTGCTTTTCATGGTTTTATAGTAAAAACTTTCTGCTCTCTGCTCCCTTTCTACACCAGGTAGTCCACAGCTTTCCCTGACAGCTCCTCTGGCAGGTGTGTGTTACGTGAGAGTTTTGTCCAAGTAAACCCTGGGCATCCCTCTCAAAACTGGTTTAAATCAATGAAGAATATCAGGAAAAAAATCCCCATGAAACCCCAACATGGGTCTCAGGGCTTTACACACGGGGGACACCAAAGAGACCAAATCTGGGCCCCGTGAGACCAGGAGCATTCAGAGACACAGCTTGTTGCAAACCTCATCAATTTAATTAATTCACGGTCCATTTGATAAAATGCAGGCAGATAAGCAACACCATTTATTTGCACTGAAAAACCAGTCTTCCCAAGTACCATCCCTGGAGACATATATTATGCTTCCAAAGAACATGTTTTACGTCTCTGGGGTAAATAGATAACATGGAAAGGATGAATCCTTAAATCCAGCCAGCAACAAATACTTGTGTGAAGGCTCATCAGTTTTATCCATCTTGTTTATCAAAACCAGTTCCCCGTGTTCTTGCCAAGCTGAAAGACAGCACGAGCCTCCTCGCCTGCAAGTCCTGAGATGAAGCAACACTGGCAGTTTCTCCCACTTTTTAAGGCCAGTTTTTGGGCAAAGCCCCACTTCCATTTTTAGTTCAGGCTCCAGGGAAGAGGAGCCCAAGATTGAGGACCCCGTTTCTGAGGACTGCTCCAGACTCAAGGTTTTAGGCACTTTCCACTGAGGTCTTCAAGTCTCGTTGCCAGTTCCTCCATTCATCCAGGGAAGAGGGTGCAGGAGTTTCTTGTTCCTCCTCCTCCTTTGAGGGAGAAAAGCTGGGTGGCTGCTCTGGGTTGTCTTCAGAAACCTTTACTGAGGGCATCTACAAAAACTGGCAGTGCTGGACTTCTTCCCCAGAGCTCTCCTTCTCCAAAGGAAGGTGGTGGATCCATACACTTCCCAGAGGACACTGTTCCCCTGTGCCACACGTCCCTCTGCACACAAGGCTGTTACCCCTCAGCCTCTCCTGCCAGTGCCACCAGTGTCCTCTTGTCCCAGTAGACCTAGTTCTTCTTGGGTTTTGACATTAGAAGCTCCAGGCTTAGAAAACAAAGTGTGGAGGTGTTTAACAGCATGAACAGAAATAAACACAATGCAAAAAGACTTTGGAATAATTGAAAGGCTGAGGTAGACCAAAGAGAGACCTGGGTTTGCCCCAGTTGTCTCTGCAGCAAAGGGCTGGAGGTCTGAAGCTGGCTCGTGTATTTTAGAGAATAATTTGGGTTAAACTCTGCATCCCTCAGAGAGACTTCCTCTGGTGATGGCCTCTCAAGGCTGCAGAGTGATGTCTGCAGGATTTGGTGGTGGGCAAGCTGGACTCACGTCAGGGAGATCAGGAGGTCTAATGAGATACTTCTAGCAGGTCCCTGGAGGGCTACACAAGGCGAGTTGGGTAAACTAATAGGCAGCCATCTGTATGAAATGCAGACTTGTTTTATTGTTTTCTGAAGAAAAAGAGCAGCTCAGTCTCTGAATTTAGCATCCTCGTTTCCCCAATTTAGTTTATACCTCAGATAACGACCTGAAGTTGTTGAAGCCCTTCTCATTTTTTCATGACAATGTGTTAAATTGTGACAAAGTGGAGTATTCTGTGACATAAAACAGGAGTATCCATTGGTGCAGGTGGAGTCATCTATTTCTTTGCTCCTGAAAGCAAGCTAGGGTTTGGTGGGAATCCAAACCTTCCTACACCAGAAGTACCTGTGCACCCAGCACACCTCCTCCTTTCCTTGTTCCCAAAAGAAGATGACCATTATAGGCAGCGTTGTGCCTCAGCTGATGTTGGGTGGCTGGGTTTGAGTACATCTCACTGGTGTGGGTAAGGGAAGCGAGTTGTTCTCTTGGCTCAGTGGGACAAATGTCATTGGTGAAAATGCCCAACACCACCACGGGAATTATTAAGGTGCTTTTAGACAACAGAGTGAAAGATTTGAGGAAAAAAATGGTCTCTGGATTTCTTTGAGCACTTTCTTTCTTTGAGTGGATGGCTTTCAGGGCCCTCCAGAGACTAAGTCCATGGCAGAAGGGAAGGCAGATGCTGTAGGGGCAGGACGAGGGTCTTCTGTCAGGGCAGCTGAGCCCCCACCAGCACCACACTGCTGATTTGGTTCAGGAAAGTTGGAGACTTTCAGGTCTTCTTGGCAACACTTTTGAAATAAGAAAGAAGGAGGTTTATGAAGTACTGCGTAAAACAGCCAAGACCACTGAGAATAATCTTGAGTATTTAAGTCCTAAAAAAAAAGTTTCTTTACTCTTATATTTTTAATGCTGCTCCTTTATGCCACCCTAGGTTTATGAGGGAGAGAGTAAAACTGTGAGTTGATAGTCAAGACACTTGGAAAGGGTTTAATTTCAGGTCTGTGTGGATGGATCAAAGGAGGAAAGGTCACTCTGCAGGGACTTTAGTGAGAATGATGTTTCAAAACTTACAAAACATTAGAGAATATTCTCCTTTCAGATTTTCTTTTCTGATTCATACTAATCAAAACAATCACAACGATCAGAACAGAGAGCAGTAAAATTCCAGGACATCTGGAATGAAACCAAAATCCATCAGCACATCGTCTACTCCAAATCCCACAGCCCCAAATTTGAGAAGTGTTTGAGCATTCAGATGTAGATACCCCTGTAAGTTATCTGACCTTCAGAGGATCTATACACTTGCAACTCCATTGGCTTCAAAGATTAAGTTTTGAATTTTAATAAAGCTAGAGGGTCTTTATCTGCTGACCTGGAAGTTAAGGATTGGTCTCAGTTTGGTCTCTTTTCATTGCTTTGAGGGAAAGTTCATAGCCAAGAAACATGGCTGCACTCGTTGGGAATCCTCGCACTGCATTGACTGTGATGCCCCTAAAAAAGACCTGTTGGAGATGGAGAAAGGTTAGAGCATAGGAATATACTGGCTAGTTTAAGAAGAAGAAGAAAACATTGAATGAATTCATGGTGTGATGCCGAAGAGCCCAGTCTTGGTTTGCTCAGAAGATAGGCTCTCACTGCTGGTCTTTGCTGGAGTCTGTGCTGGAGAATGGAAAAGCAATGGCAAAAGTCACTGGTTTGGTATCATGGTGCTCTATGCTCCTCGTGGAACTCCATTTGTATCTGCCAGCAAGAACTACAAGAGGTAAAGGGTGAAACAAACTGACCTCATGCCACTGGTGTAGAGCAGAAAGCAAGAAACCTAAACCCTCTACCAGTGTTGTCCACACTCCCTCCTTCCCTCGGCATTACAACGCTGGTGGGGAGCACGCAGACCCCAGGGGACAAGAAGAAGCCCCTTGCAGCAAGTGCTCTGAGCCCTGGGTTGGGTCTCTGGGTGCAGAAGACGTTCAGGAGTGGAGAGGGAGCGGTGTGGCTGCGAGCCAGGGGCGGGTGCTGTGCCACAAGGACTATTTTGCAGGTTTCACCTTTGAGCGTTGAACGAATTTCTCAATCAACAGAAACCTAGACTGACTCTGTGCCTTGCTGAGAACCAGCTCTCACCACCAGCTTTGGGGAAAACATCTGATGGAAGCTGATGTGGTCATCTGTGTGTTCCTACTGTCGAGCTTTGTTGCCCAAACTTATCCCAGCGTTTCCCTGCTCACCACCCCCATATCCCATAAATCCCATGCGTGGTGCTGACTCAAAACATCTTTGGACAGGATGGAATTTGCAAGGTGAAATTGCAATATTGGGATATTGAGGATATTATTTGATTCCTTGGGGTGTTTCATTTTGTTAGGAAAGAGAGATTTTTTCTGGGAGGAAATTAAAATTTTTGCAGCATCCATAAAGTAGCATGAGAGAGAGAAGTTAAATAATAAGGAAGATTTATGAAGAAAAGCACAGAGACATCATTTTTTCTCATCAGAACGAACACACCAGACTAGGAAGAAAGAAGGGCTATATTTACATTTTTTTTGTGGCCAGCAGGGAGTTATTTTCAGCACTGTGAATGCTGCTCCCTTGTCCCAGAATGAAAACATCCAGGCCTGGGTTTGCCATTTGTCAGTTGTGTGTCTCCCAGCATATAAAAAGATTTTCCTTATGAAAGAAGGATCCAGTCTCATCATTAATTATTGCTCAATCCTATTGCTGGCTTTGGTCCCAGTGCCAGTCATGATAGCAGAAAAACTGCAAGGAGCTTGGACCTCAGACAAAAAACCCTAAGTGCTTAGCAGGACAAGGAGGGTAGGGGGTGAGGAGGATGGAGAGAAAGGAAAACTCATAGAAATGCCCTTTTCAGGCACTCGGTGTTTCCCTGTGAACCTAGATGCCAAGCTGAATGCCCAGGACAGGTCTCCTGAGTGGATCCTGGGCACCTTGACCCTCCTCTGATCATCCCACCACAGTCTTTGGCATCTCTCCACGTGTCTGTGCTTGGTGTGACCGTGACTTTCCTCACTCAATGACAAAACCCCAACCACTCTGCAGGGCTGTGACAGCCAGCATAGAGTAGTGACATGTTGGCAAATACCTAAATCACAGAGACCTGTGATTTTGCAGGTCACGTTTCTTTTTGTCACTCGTTGCTTTTCCCCTCAGAATGTGAACATTAATACTTTGCAGCTAGGAACCCACGTGATGTTTTGATGACAGCTTAAATACAGGTTTATTTCCATATCAGAAGACATTGCTTCTCATAAGCATGTGTTGCAGAAAGCTGCAAACCCTGATTCTCTGCCACTCACCTTTAACTGAGGCAAAGTTTGCAGGTAAAACAAACACCTTCTGTTAGACTAACAGACAAAGCCAGAAAAAGGAGATAAGGGGTGTTTTTTTTGGCATGCAGCCCTCCTTCGTGTTTAAAACCAAATCAATTCTGATTTAAGCACCTTTTCAATCAACTCTGTCTTGGTGCACAGGGAGGGCGGGTAGCGTGAGACACGGCACCAAAGCATCACCCGAGGCAACCAAAGGGGTGTCAGGGGGGTCCCACTGGAATCAGGGAACCATTTCAAATGGGAAACATTTCACCTCTGCATTTTGTAGAAGCACAGAGACAAGATTTTCTACCCCTGATTTATGATAAGTCAAATTCTAGTCACCATTAAATGCCCTGAGATGAAGTGTTAGTTAAGTTAATTACACAAGCACACCGTGACCCCAATTTTTTCATTGCTGCAAATTGAATTATTACTCTCACTGCTATGATTTAGAAATAATCTGCACTATAATTACCTGCTGTCATTATTCTAATTCAGCAGTAATTGGCTTTAGCTGTTTCTCAATCCTGCAGATAAGTTTGTAACAGCTACTCTATGTCCCAGTTGAAAACGAAACACTTAGTACCCAGATTTTTACTTCAAAAATCACTTACTTTTAAGCCCTCGTTCTGGTAGCTCTGCAAGATACAGTCGAGGGTCCCTTTGTACTTGTTTAAATAAACTCCATCTGCCTGGAGTCGACTTTTCACAACATCCATTGGAGTTGCAATCCCCCAGGAAACGGCTCCTAGAAAAATGCAGAAGTATTTTGAGCAAGATCTTCTCTAGATTTCCACAGGTCGCTGGAAAACTCAAAAATTCCTCTCTCATCTACCACCACATCTTAATGGGATTTTTTCATTTCAAGGCATTCTCCCCGTTCAGGCACAGGAACGATATTTCCGGGAGCAAAGTTCCCTTGTTTCTGGAAGAAGCATTGAGATTTTGGGGGTTCTGCTGGCAATCAAATGCAGGCAGCCCAGGAGGCAAACACATCTTCTGCCGTGCTTCTGGTGGAGCATGGACATGCTGTGGGAAGAGCCCGAGCTTCAGGGAGCTGCTGGTTAGGGAGATGGCAGGAAAAAACTGGAGTCCTCAGATAATACTGTGGAAAAGCAAAGTCTGAGCTCTGAATGCAAATAAAAGGCAGGTTCATCTCATGTGGCCAGGATTAGGCTCAACGCAGCTGAGATATGTCATCATGGCCCAGTTGGACAGACAAGAGTGTGTTTGGACTTCTGTGAGGGCTGGGAGAAGCTGTCCAGATGGGCCAGGGCTCTGTTTATTTGCAGGAGAAACAGAGAGGGCATTTTGTAATCATTACCTGAGCTAAGGGTTGACTTGCATGCAGGGGTCTGCAATTTAGAAACAGCCAAAAACTGGGGAGCGGGTGTAGGGGTGACCTTGGACGTGTCAGCATGGGGTGGGGGGGACACATGTCTGTTGTACTGGCAGGTGTACACAGGATAAAAAAGAAGAAGAAGGTCAGGATCAGTCAACTGCTGCGTGCAGGTAGGGTGCACACCCTCCTGGTGGGCAGCCAACAGGTTGAAGTCCTCTTCTGGAGGCATCTTGGCTGGCGTGTATCACTGGCAGTGTAATACACAGGCTGCCCTGAGACATCCAGGGAGATGAAGGTGCTGGCTGGTTTCCTCCTCGCTGACATTGAGCCCGATGAAGGGCTGATAACACGACTTCCATAAAGTGTGTCATGTCACAAAGTGCAGCTGTGGTGCCAGGGGACCTGGCCCTGGGGGGGAAGAAGGTCCTTCAGCCCCATGTCTTTTCCTGGTGACCCGGAGGATGTGGTGGCCCCCGAGCTACCTCTGAAATCTGCCTTGGGAACCTTCTTGTCTTTGTTTAGGCAGTGCTGTGGGGAAAAAAAGGTGCTTACCTGCTACACCCCCTGCCAGCCAGATGGAGGAGGGACTGGGGGAAATGCATCCCTCAGGGGTGATCCAGTCACAGAACAACGTGTAAGGGATGAAATAGCAGCAGTACCCAGGAACATCCCTCAGAAGCATTGCTCCTGCTCCTCGGTATATTCCTGCTAGCCCCTCTTTCTGGAGGACTGTCCTAAAGCAGTGAATTGGGCCTCGGTACACAGGGGATCCAGGAACTGTGGCCTTTACTTTAATGTTAGCTGAAAAAAAAACCCAAAAGATGTAACTGTTATAATAGATAACAGATAGAAAGTCCAACCCCCCTGCCCTGAGCAGGGACATCTCCAACTAGAGCAGGTTGCTCAGAGCCCCATCCAACCTCCCCTGGAATGGTTCCAGGGATGGGGCAGTGACCACCTCTCTGGGCAACCTGGGCCAGGGGCTCACCATCCTCATGGTAAAAGATTTCTTCCCTCCATCTTGTCTAAATTTCCTCCTTTTCAGTTCAAAACCATCACCCCTTGTCCTGTCACATGAGGCCCTGCTAAAAGTCTGTCCCCATCTTTTTGTCAGGCCCCTTTAAGTATTGAAAGACCACAGTGAGGTCTCCCTGGAGCCTTCTCTTCTCCAGGCTGAACAATCCCAACTCTCTCAGCCTTTCTTCATAGGAGAGGTTTTCCAGCCCTGTAGGTATGTGCCCAGTGAGATTTCCAAGCGTTTAAGGCTCTGTGCCCAATTTGGATGAATTTTAACCACATCTGGTGCCAAGCTGCAGTTTTGAAAGCCTTGACAGCTTCAGAGCCTGGTCCTTCCCACACAGACCAATTTACTCTTGGAAAGGGCATCAGGTTGCTAAGCTGCATTGTAAAACTGGACATAATATGACATTATCTGATGCAAAACCCTCAATATTTCACAGTGCACCACTGTAACCATGAGAAAGGTGAGGAGCTGCAGGCCAGGCTCTGAAGCTGTGCTGTCTCTTCCTCCAGCTGTCCATGTGCTCAGGTGGGATTTGCTTCATGCAGCCTGTGCTGAAATTCAGCTGCTGCCTTGAGCAGCATCAATTCCTTCTGCCTGCAGGTTCTGGAGAGCTGCTCACAGCCATCCTGCCAGCATCCCCTCCTCACCCTGTGCCCAGGTACCCCTAACCCTGCCCCGAATACGCCCGTGGTGTTTAAAGGTACCTGTGAAATGTTGCTTTGGAGCAGGGTGGAACTAGGGAGAGGGGTTTATGGGCAAATCTCTGTGGGCCTGGGAGCGTGCAGCAGGAGATGGGGAGCTGGCATTATGGCTGGCAGCTGTGGTGCTGCTGGTGGGACCTCCTGGGGCCTCAGCAGCTCAGGGACTCCCTGCTCCTGCCCCACAGCTGCATGGGGGTGGCACCTCCTGGTCCTGAGCAGCCCTGGCCCCGTGTTCCCTACAGGTCCCAGTCAGCTGGAGATGCCAGCACACATCGTTGATAAAACCCCTCCCTGTGAGCTGAGCAGCATGGGGACAATCCTGAGGCAGAAGGAAGCGTTTTTAGCCCGGCCTGTGTTGGCACAAAGCAGCAGAGAGCTGGGCTGAGCATTTGGTACACCCCAAGAACCATCAAAGGCAGGCAGAAATAACTCCTCCTTCCCACCTTTGACGGAGGGCTGCGTTTGCATCTGGAGCCTTATCTTCACCAGGTCCACGGGGGTGCCGATGCCCACGGAGATGAACCCTGCCACCATGCTGGCCAGGGCCACGTCAGCCAGGGCTGGTGCCCGGGCAGGGTCCCCGTGGCGGAGCTGGCTGAGCAGCCTCTGCGTGTTGCTGAAGACCCCAAAGACCACGGAGCTGTAGACGGCGACGCTGGCCAGAGGGAAGGACATGCCCTTGAAGAAGCCAGCCACCTACCCAGGGACAGGAGCAGGAGTTAGGAGAGACAATGGCACTCTCAGGGCAGAAATGCACACCCCAGTAGCTGCTGGAAGCAACTGTTGGCACATGCTGA